TCGGCCGAGTGAAGGGGCCCTGCGTCGCTGTATGAGCGCGGAGCTAGCGCTAGTGGGCCTACTCCGTCCATCACAGCCCTAAACAATGACGCTTCGCAACAAAGCTGTTCCTGCCACGGCCCCCTCCCCCTCTCCCCCATCAACCTCCACCACCGGCAGTTGTAATTGACCTCCCTCGGCGTAAAAATCACCTCGGTTTCCGCTCCTCTGCCAGTCGTGCCTGTGTCCCGTTCCCCCCGAGCGGAGCCGATCTTTCGGCCAGGCGGCCAGACTGCACGTGCGTGCCGGCTCCGTCTGCGGCCGGCGGCCGTGCGTGCCGCCGCCAGCCGCTTGCACAATCGAACCGGTTCGCCGGCCGCGTCTCGATCTGCCGCGCGCCGTACCGTGCGAGCGGCCCGGCAGAGCGACGTCTGGTTCGGCCGCCGCCGCCGCCGCCGCCGCCGCCGCCGCCGCCGCTGCGTGGTCGTTAGGACGTCCATACTTCATAACTCGGCGGCGCCGCACTGCAGGATGAATCAATGACCGCCGCGGTGTGGTTCGGCGCACCGATAAATCCAATTACGGCGACGGCGGGCTATCTGGGCGGCCGATGGTGCGGCCGTGGTCAGATGCACTCGCGAGGGGACCACGCACCTGTGATGGGATTTTTTTAGGGGGGGGGGGATTGTCGCTCGGATGTTGGATTCATTGTATTGCACATGTGTTGATCGCCCGTGGTTGACGACAGAGGCCAGGCGGGGCATGCCTCTGCCCCCCCCCCCCCCCTCCCATGATAACAGCCCGCACACATATCAGCAGTTAACCCGGACACTGTCGAGCAGCTTCATGGCGTTGCCCTTGCCCTGCATTTCCAAAGCTTCTGGTCTCAGTATTGGCCTGGAAGACACATGTCTTGCTTTTCATCCACTACAGTTTCAGAATCAGGTCATCGGTGTGACACGCAGCTGGCATAACATCTCCAGTGGCATTCAGCTCCACGCAGTGAGCGGCTGCAGTCGACTGGGCCGCCGCCGCTACCGCCGCTACCGCCGCTACCGCCGCCACCGCCGCCACCGCCGCACGAAAACCCGACATTGTCGATCAGATCCCGTGTGACTAGGGCAGGGTAGAACAGGACAGGACAGGACAGATCAGATCAGATCGTTTTGAGTACAGCCTCTTGCCTCCGGGCGGGCCTCACGTCCTTGCGGCCAGCGTCAGCGTCAGAGTGAGACTCAGAATCAGAGTCAGAGTCGGCGGCGGCGGGCCTCGGGGTACGGCGGCGATTCCGTCGCGTCACCGTCGCCGCGCCAGCCGACCCGCTCCGCTCCATCGACGTCGCATGCCGCCGGCGTATCGGGCGCCGCCGTTTTATTGGCGACTTCGCCGAAGTGAATTATCATAAAGCCGGGCGTGCGGCGACTTTCATAAGTCTGGCTGCCGACGCCGATTGGCCGGCGCGTGCACGGCACCTGGGAGCCCGGACAGTCGGACATCGAACATTGGACACCGGACATCGAACACCGGACACCGGACATCGGACACCGGACATCGGACACCGGACTTCGGACATCGGACATCGGACACCGGACATCGGACATCGGACACCGGGCATCGGACACCGGACATCGGATATCGGGGACTATTCGTCAGCGGTGGACCCGTCGTCGTCAGGGCGGATCGATCCCCCCCCCCCTCTCCCGCTGCCTCGCCGCGCTGATGGGATTTTGAAAGGTCGGCGGATTTAGAGGGCCGGCGCGCGGTGGAGCTAATTTCGAATAAGTGATCTATTGATGTTTCATCTCATCTTTTATACGCTATGCTCAGGGAAGTTTTCTAATTTCCGCGAGAGCCTGGAGGGGCGGAGGTGGCCGGCGCTCCATCGGACGGAGGAGCACATTTGGAGGGTCCGTCGTTGATCTGACCCGGAGCAGGTAAGGTCTCTGCCTTGGTTGGTCGGAGCGTACTCCAGCATTCGAACGAGGTCTGGCCTTCCGGCTGAACTCAGTTCTGCCGGGTGCCGTCGCCAGAGCTGGGAACTCTAGGGACCGAGGCGCTCGGGCTGGCCATTCAGTCTCATGCGCATTCAGTCTCTATCTGTCGGAGGTAATTCTGGCTATGGGCCGGCAGCCGGCCGCGTTAGAAAGTTGTCGACGGATCGTTGATTAAGCTTTCTCCGAAATGAGAGGGTAACGTGGAGTGAATTATGCGCTCGGCTCAGACGGCAGTGAGCTATTTTTGCCGGGCTGCCTGCTTGCGAATCCAATAGACTGCACGTCTCTGGTGACGTCTGCGGAACTCTTGTCATACCTGTGGTCCGAAAATTTCCTGGCAGTGGACCGGTACCACATGTGTCGATCTTCAGTCGTCTTGATTTTGCAAGGGTCATCGTTTGTTTGTTTTTTGTTGCGTGTTAACATTAGCCCTGCTGCCTTCAATGTGCGTGAGCGACAACAGACCGCACGTCATGATAAGCTTGGAAGTATTTGTCATTGCGGGCTTCGGGAGACACTGTACGCTGTCGTGCTCAAGCAGGCATGCTACCGCAACGCTTCACCGCTTCACCATACGTCTTCGCCCAGGCTGCTGGATTGAGCCTGCTCTATTCGACATCCGTCGTTATAGACAGAGGTGCTCACCGTTCACATTTTGTGTCTGAAGCTGTTAAAGTCGGTAAGCTTCGCCCCCATCGTCAGGCAAAAGTTGTGCCGTTTTCCGCGTCATTGTAGCGCCGTGTTACCTCGCTGCCTTGTCTTCTGCGCGCCGGCATTTACCATGCATAATTTATGCCGCAGCTCCTTGCTATCGATTGTCGGTTGGGAGGCGGGCCGCGCTCTGTCGCGGCCATTGTTTGCCACCGATAAAGCTGCCGGGCACCGGAGCGCACCGCGTGGACAGCATAAATCGCCCGGCTTCTCTGCCGTGTCCGGTGCGGATCAATTGCTGCCGGCGGACGGCGGCCGAGGAGCGGCCGGCCGGAGACCGGCGCCGTCGGGAGCCGCCTGCGCCGCGCCTGCAGCCGCCAAACGGCGCGGCCCGAGCGCCGGCCGTCGGCAAATACGTCCGCGTCCAATTTGGCGTATTGTTTGGGAAGAATTTTAATCACGGCCTGGGTACGTCCCCCGGCGGCTTCGAGTGGGGCGCGCCGGCCGCGTTTGAAGCCTGTTCGCAGTCGTGTTTACACAGCGGGCGGATTTGCTGGGCGCCGCGGGCGACCGGCCCGGCTTTGGGCTGAATCGCGAGCGGATCTGGAGGGCTGCTGCGCGCGTGCCCGGACGTTGTGCGGATGGGCTGAGGCGCGGTCGAATACAGGCGCTTGTCGGCGTGTCTGCCACGTTGACAACCGTTGCCTATGGGCCGTGCCGTGCGCCTCCGCCGCCGCAGTTCCTCCCCGCGTACTGGCGGCTGATGCCTCGCACAGCGCCGGTGCTGTCGTCCTGCCGGCACCAGCCGCGGCAGGACACTTATGGCACTGTTTCGTATCCGGACGCGGCTAGATTAGCGCTGGCAGAGCTATTCTGAGGACAGGCCGTCGCCGCCGCTTGCCGCTGTGGGCGGGCGCAACGTGTCGTCCCTGTTATTGCACCGGTAACTAGCGCAGGGCCGACACCGGCTGAGGATACGCGTCTATGTCGCCGGCGGCGTCTCCGCCCCGCTGGTCGCCACCTCCAGATTGGGCCGGGTTTAGCGCCCCATAGCGACAGTGGACCGGTGGCCAGCCTGCCCGGTGGGAATTTCACGCGGCCTGAGTGGCGCGGCTTACGCGGGATACGCCCCTGAACATTGCCGGGTATATGATCCCGGCGAGCGGTGCTAATCCTCGAAGCGCCAACGTGATGGGCGCGCCGCTCGCTGGCCACTCGCGTGATGAAGTTGGGGGGCGTTCGCCCGCCCGGCTGAGTAAGGTCAGCAGTCAAGGTGAGGCGTGGGCGACCGATTTCGCCCGCTCAGAACGGAAAGCGCCAGACTTCTGCTAGTCTGGGTTGCGTGGTCACTGTGAGGCCGCGAACCGGCAGCATGCATTGGCCGTTGTTCGGCCCGGGCGGAGCGCTGAAGCAGCGAACCGGCCCTCACACGCCAGCGACCTGCGGGCCTGACTGCACAGGCCAGCGCGGGAGGTCGACAACGATCTAGATCTAGATAGCGGGACGGACACGACAGGCCGGGTGCGCGGCGCCCGCACATGATGCGCGCCGCCGCCGGAGTCCGGTGGCGACCCTCAGCGTGCCGACACGGCTGGCGATGGCGGCGGCACGTGGCGCGAGGTCAATGCGCGCGGTCACGACGCGACCTGACCGTTAGCGAGGCTGACCTGGGACGGTGGTCACGGCGCGACCTGACCGTTAGCGGGGCTGACCGGGGACGGCGGTCACGGCGCGGCCTGACCGTTAGCGGGGCTGACCGGGGACGGCGGTCACGGCGCGACCTGACCGTTAGCGGGGCTGACCGGGGACGGCGATCACGGCGCGACCTGACCGTTAGCGAGGCTGACCAGGGACGGCGGTCACGGCGCGACCTGACCGTTAACGGGGCTGACCGGGGACGGCGGTCACGGCGGGATTGGCGCACGCGCGTCGTCCGAGGAGCGACGTGTGGAGAGAGGGTCGAGATGAGGCTGACTGTCGGGCGCCGATCAGTCTGATGCAGCGAGCGACGGGTGTTTTGATGTGGCCAAGATACTTGGCGCCTCGTCGTGTTGCTACGGGTGATTATTTGAGCCAGCTGTGTTTTCCTTGCAGAGCCTATGTATCATGTCTTTGTCAGCGCATGCGGAGAGACCCACGTTTAAAAGCCTGTTTTATGTCACCACTGCGAACCGCTTTTCGGTATTGGTGCCATGCCGGGACTGCTGATATCCTCTGCACTGACGGGACATGTTTGGTGTATGGTGGACTTCCGCGGACATCTTTGGCCGTGCCCGCGTATACCCGGCGCCGCCCCATCCGCTGGCGGTGGTCAGCGGTGTCGCCGCCGACGTACCCTGACGCGCCGGCGCTGACCGTCACTGCCTTCCGTCGCAGGTGGTGGTGGAGCCGCTTTCGGAGCGCAAGATCAAGGCCAACGAGTACGGTGACTTGGCCGTGCAGCACGGCAGCCGCGTGCAGGCCGACCTGCGATTCGACAAGCGCAAGCAGCACCTCTACGTGATGACCGAGAAAAAGGTATGTCGACCGCTGGGGTCATGGTTGTTTGTTATTGATGCATGCAGGTGCGTGAGTCATTCATTTGCGTCGCCATACCGGGTCGCCACACCGGGTCGTGGGACGGTGAAAGATCCCGCGACGGGAATGATCCTGGGCCCGACGTCTTAATGAGCGATTCGCTCGCGCACGCCGCCCGCCCTCCTGATCTCCCTCCTCGTCACCCTGCGCCATCGTTGTGTCAGCAGCGAGACATCGTGGCCACCAGTGTCACCGCCGCCAGCTAGCAGGTCGTCCGCGTCTCTGGCCAAAGAGGGCGCCGCGGGCGCAAGCGAGCTGGTCGCCGCCGGCGTAACCTCGGGCTGGTGCTGGCACGTCGGCCGATGCCGGTGTCCCGGATTAGAGCGGCGGCGCCGGGCCGTCTGGCTCCATGGCGCCGCCGCTCTAATCCGGGCGTGATGGAGCCGTCGGCCGGCGGCGCCGCGGCCCGCGCCCCGCGCCCCGCGCCCCGCGCCCACCCCGGGCCGGCGCCGCTCGGCTTTCCGCAGCCGGCGAGCTCGGTCGCCAGGCGGCAGGCTGGCCGGCCGACGAGCTCGGTCGCCGGGCGGCAGGCGGGCCGACCGGCACGTCCCCGGTCGGCGCCGGAGCGTTTTTGCCGGCCGGTCCGGCGCGACTGGCTCTCTCTCCGCTCCCACACGGCTAGGGTATCGGCCGGCGGCGGCGGCGCTCACGCCTCAGCGCACCGCCGCCGCGGATCAGAACAGTGCGCGGCCACGCTCCCGGCCGACCGTGCCGCCCCCCGCCCCCAGCTCATCCCATCAGGGTCGGCCCGGACGCTTTTTACGGGCAGCGGACTCGGCTGTAAGCTGGGCTGGCGCGGTGGCCGGGCCGGCCGTCGGCGGACACCGGCGCAGCCAGCGCGGCTTTCGGCCGGCCGGCGGTCAGCGCAGGCGAATCCGCTTACCCTTGGGCGGAGTCGGCTGCTCACCCCCGCGGCGCAGCTGGCCGGCAGGCGTGGGGGCTCGCGAGGGAGCGCAGCGACGGGGCGGTATCGACGGGGCGCAGCTCGGTCTTAAGTGCTTTCGTTCTACGTGAGTGATGGACCCGCAGGTTCAATATCAACCTACACGCTGCCGGGCGGATGACTCATAACACAGTAGGGGACGTTTCTATCACACTGTGTAGTGTAGTGGTTACACACCCGTGATCAAGGCGCTTCTTACAAAGGGCTTCATGCTACATACCCCTGACTGAGACTCGCCCAGTGTTCTAGTGTCGCCCAGCGTTACCGGGCTGGGTTTGGAGCCGTCTAACGCTGTACGGGTTATTCTGTCTGTACCGCCCAGAACGCTGCACGCGCTGAAGTCGGCTGTCACGCCCGGACTACGGCTATCTTTGTGACCGCGGGTGCTAACGGCAAGCGCACCGAACATGGAAGCTGGCCCCTAGGAGGCCAGATCTCGTAACAGGCCCTTAAAATATGCAATCGCTTATTGTTTTAGGGTTATGGTTTGCAGTAAAGGATGGAGCTCGTCGTAAAACCGTTGAGTGCCGCGGCCATGTGCCTCATAACACATATTTTTCGCGAACGGTACGGCAGGTCTATCTGCAGCATGTCAACGCTCCATTTAAATTACTCATCCTCGGTTATCTACTGTTGCCGTGCTGTGCCATTGGCACTTGCGGAATCTATATTGTAATGCTGATCTTAACACCGCCGTTTGTCCACTTGATCGCCGGTAAAGCCGTAAATGTAATTGACAAACGTTCTTGTTGGACTTACACCAGACCACTGACTACCTCATCAGTACGCCGACGACGAGCTCTCCTCACCTCCGCTTGAACCCCATTGAGCCCGTACACCGGCTCGACGATTGGGCGCTCCGACCGCCTTGCGATCGCCAGCCGCCACGGCTGTAATCACCGCTGGTGCGCAGCGCCGCACCGTTCGCCGCCACTGCCCGGCGGACCTGGCCGGCGCGGCCGCTGCGCTGGCGGACCTGACCGGCGCGGCCGCTGTCCGGCGGACCTGACCGGCGCGGCCGCTGCGCCGGCCGCCGGACCGTCCGGCCGCGATAGATCACCTACGCCGCCGACCGCCCCGTTGATTATGGCGATTCGGGCGGCACGTGAGGCGCGCGCGCGCCGGCATCACGCCGCTCGAGTGGCGCCCCTGCGCTAATTGCATTACCTGGCGGCGCTCATTATCGAAATTCGAGCGTTGTTTATCTCTTGGCGGTGGGCGTCGCGGCAGGCCGCCGGCGGACCGGGCAGTTGAATGACACGCCGCCGGCGACGCGACGAGCGGTGGGGAATCGAACCGGCTCGCCGCCGCCACGGGGGGAGGCAATGGAGGCGATGGAGGACGTGCTGGGCAATGTCGTTAGATGTACCCCGGGCCACTGCGATCAGCCCGGAGAAATAACCGTGCTGACGCGCCGGGGAGAACTTGACGATACCAGATCTGCACGGGGATGCGAGATCCCGAATGGGTCGCGTCACGTCACGTCGCGGAGACGACGCGAAGCGCCGTGGAGATCCACAGGTGCCGCCGGGGACCAGATCACTGCGCACCACCACTGGGGCACCACTGGTGAGGGTGACTGCGGAGATCACTGCGGAGACCGGACGCGGTCCGTGTCGCCAATGGCGCGGCGCGGCTGACCTTCCCGCCCGCGGACGGCCGGTTCCCCCGGCGGCCGCGGCCGAAAGGCCAGCCGTCTGACCGGGCGGCCTGACCGGTCGGTCGGGCGTCGCTCCCGGCCGCCCGCACCCGCTCTCAACAGCGCAACGGACCCGGCTGGGCCGCGTGACAGGTCACCGGCCGCGTTGGCGACGCGGCGAGGCCGGCACGCTCGAGCGGTGGCGGTGCTACGCTGCGCCGACCAGTGGTCAGCCGGCCGTCCCTGCCTCCCCTGCCGCCTGCCGGGCCTCAGTGCCTGCTGTGCACCTAGCTGCGTCCCGGACCGGTGAACGCCGCTGGTCGGCCCCGGCCGCGGCCGCGGGTGCGGCAGGCGCGGGCGGCTCATGCCCGCCTCCCCGCCGGCCGCGCACGGGTCGCGCCTTCCAGGTATGTGGTCAGGTGCGGCCGGGGGCTGGCGTGCTTCCGTGACGTACGTGATCTGGCAGCATACTGCACGGGAGGTATCCTTTTGCAGACGCCGTTAGGCACAGTTAGAACGCACGGAACTTTCCTGTCTTTGCTCCTGGAAAGCTTTGCCTTGTCTCGAGATCGGCGTGCTCCCCAGATTTGGAAGTTTCCGCGTCATCGTCTCTGCCGCAGTGGCGCGGAAACTTCCACGTCACATATTATCGTCGCTGACATGTCCTCCCGCATTTCGCCGCCGCCGCCGCGCTTTTAGCCGCCTCTCTACTGCAAATAGGATAGCGCATTTGGAGGGCTTCGGTGCCGGAGTCTGAATCATTTATCGGTGCGTTCCCGTACACAGCTTTATCGTTGGACGCCGTGGCCAATTTCTGGCGCCGCCAGCTTGAGGTCCCAGCGGCTCCGCGCCGCCGGCTCAGCGGAAATCTGCGATGTTTACCGGCGAGCTGGGAGGCCCGCGAGCTCCTGAGATATTCTCCGGAGCTGGGCGCCAGCCGAACCGATTGCAGGCTTGGGCGATGAACCCGCTCTTTCATGCTTCTCACCTTCAGGTGGAGTGTCTTTGTCATTTGACCAAAGCGTTTTGTGGTAAAACAAGACCACAGAGTGCTCGTTGAACAGCGTGGGTTCCGTGGGGCTTCGCCTCAAGGCTGCGTCCCGACCTGTCGCTCTCTCTGTCGTCCTTTTGTGGCCAAGGCAGTGTCTTTGTGGAAGCCTAATAAGGTGTTGCGATTCCATTGATGCTGGGAGCTCGTGCGGAATGCAGCTGTTTTGCATTCTGAGGGAGAATCACTTCACTTTCACCGGCTACCGTCAATGGCCGACAGATAACCAAACAGAGCAAACAACTTTCTAAAAACGGCGGGCCAGCACGCCAACGAGCCATCTGCCCGTGTCCGCCGCATCGGCACTTGTCCGAACCGACCGCCGCCGTCCGTTGGAGACGGACGGTGTCACTTTTAACGTCCGCGCCCGGTGGAGCCGCGCGCAACACGCGCTCTTCTCGGGCGCGATTGTCGGCCGGTGTCGCGGTCGCCAGCGACGCCCCGCCGTCGTTACGGACGACGAGCACCCGGGGAGCCGCCGCACGGCGGCCAGACGCAGCGGAATTAATAGATCCTACGGCCAAATTGTTTTCGTTGCCGCCGCCGTCGGCAATTATGGTGCGGTGGGGGGAGCGCCGGCGGGTAATTTCACGGAGTGTGGGGTCGCGTCCAGCCGGGCGCGCCCGGTCAGCGTCGGCCGACGCATCCATCAGTGGGCTCCCCTCGGCCGCTGACGGCCGCCGCCGCCGCTGAGAATCCATACCGGTGGCTGGGGCGTCGCTCGCCGCCCGCAGGGCACGAAGACGGCTCGCCGCCGGGCCGGGACTTGTTGACTGGTCGCGGGCGCCCGGGGGCGGGGAAGGGGGTCGGTGTCGCTGCCGTCGTCATTGATCCGGGCCGGGCGGACCCTTGCGGCCGGGCTCGGCTGTTTTCGGCGCGCCAGGCGGCCCGAGGCGAGACCAGATGTTATCGGCGATTGGCGTGGCTCGGCGCCGAGTGCCGCGTCGGCCACCGGGGACATGACCCACCCGGTCTCACGGCGAGCTCGCTCGCGACAGGATTTGGCACGCGCCGCGCTGCTGGAAGCGTGGCCAGCGTGGGACGGAATGCATGCGGGTCGTCGGCGCAGGGCGCAGGCGATCGGCTGGCGCTAAGGGCCGTGACGTCACAGCTGGTGCCCGTGTGCTGTATGTGACGTCACAGGCGTGCTCGGGTCGGCGGGGGTCGCTCCAGCGGCGGGGAGGCCTGACGTGGCAGGGTCGCCCGGCGGCGTGGTTAGGCGGAGTGCTGGAACACAGCCGCACGTCGGGTCGGTGCGCATGTCAGAGCTCTGTCTTGCATGCCGCGCCAGGTCCGTGTGAGTCACGACT